TCCCCAGCACGGCGACAGCCTCCTTCCCTCCCAGGGCTTCCTTCGGCTCCTGCTGCTGGGCCTGGGGGTCCTACCTTCTCCAACCTCTGCTACCTGTGATGAGCCCCCAACATATTCCCATATGGAGCTCATTGGCAACGCGAAAACCACTTACGACGTCGGGGAACGAGTTGAGTATCGGTGTAAGCCTGGGTACCAGCGGAGTCCTTCTGAAGCCATCTTTACAGTTTGTGGTGCGGACGATAACTGGCCGCCTCTTTCAGATGATGCTTGTTATAAAAAATCATGTACACTTCCACAGGACCCACTAAATGGACACGTAAACTTCCTCAATGAAAGTTACGAGTTGGGAACGCAAGTTCAATTCATTTGTAATAATGGTTTCTATTTAATTGGAAATGAAATTCTCCACTGTCTGCTCAGTGGATCCGACGTGCAGTGGAGCAGTGAGGCCCCAGAGTGTGAGAAGTCTCTATGTCGACCGCCCCCTAACATACCAAATGGAGGTTACTCAAGCAAGAAGGTCGTGTTTGAGTATCTTGAAGTCGTAACGTATACGTGCAATGACAATCCTGGAGGTGATAAATTTTCCCTCATTGGGGAGGCCACGCTTCACTGTGCTGGGAGAGGTGTGTGGAGCAGTGACCCCCCTGAGTGCAAGGTGGTCAGATGTCCACATCCCGCAATCCGAAACGGAAGACAGACGTCAGGATTCAGAGCAAAGCATTTCTACCAGGCCAGGGTGACGTTTGAGTGCCTGGACGGCTTCTTCCTTCACGGACAGGTTATGGCTGTCTGCGAGGCTAATGGCACTTGGCAGCCCCCCCTTCCAAGATGCCTTCAGGAGCCCCCTCGTCTCACCACAAACATTCCTGAGTCCAGAGGTGCAGAACCCACCAGCTCAGGATCCAGTGGCGCAGGACCCAACCTCCCAAAGTCCAGCGCAGGCCGACTTCACCGTGAGCACTTAGGCGGGTGGGTGGTTGGTCCCACTGTTGCCTTCCTCTTGCAGGAACACTAATTCGCATCTGCCTGTGCAAACATCCTCAAAACGAGAGGTAAAGGAGCCCAGAGGTGAATGGATATATCACTTGCCCCCCAGAATCAGATATCCTCCCAGAGCAAGCCAAAAGGTTTTTATAAACTTGTTTACCAGCTTGGTTTGAATTCCATTAAAATTCATTTATACAAGTTTTTCTCTAGCTTCACTCTTCCTGCACTTGTGAAGTCAAGGCTAACATTTTAATATGGATTGAATATAGTAGCTATGCTTTGATACTTCTTACAAAGGGATATGTTGAGTTATGACATAGTGGAATACTGTGTACATGGTAATATTTACATAGAGAAATTAGTTATGCTATAAAATCTGAAAATTTATGTAAATATTTTTAGTGCTAAATAAACTGATTTCAGACTCTTTATTCAAAGATGCCAAATCAATATTATTTCAATAACTAAAAATGTATTATATGTATGATTCATTGTGAAGACTTTTATAGATATGAAAATAGAATTTCATGTCTCAAGAACTCTGAAAACAGGGAATAAGGACAGGTTTGAAGTCATTGACTACAAATAGTAGAAATTTCACTAAGTGCTAATAGAATAGAATGCATTTTCTATTCACGTCTTTGGTGATTTAAAGTTTGAAAATTTACGTCTTCCATTTGCTTTGACTTTTCTCTACATCAACATACTGATGTAAAAAATCAATAAGATTTCAGAATCAGCTGCGTATGCTGATGAAATATTGGAGAACTCGGACACCCACACCTGTAGTCTTGGTTCAGAGAGAGGGAAGTACCCTTGTTTTCCGGAAGGGATCCGTGTGCTGAGTGACCCATTGTGAACCATGGCTAGAGGTGGCTTTCTGGGCTCACTTTAAATGTGCATTATAAGGAGGTAGTGGAAAGAAATAGGTCATAAGAGGAACCCAAGTTGTGTCAGAGTCTTAGTGCATAAGCATGGATCTTGCCAGCAGAAGCCCGTTAAATCTGTGTGCTTCTTCTCTCATCCTTTGAAAGGCTGAGTAGCACTGAGGATGTGGCTCAGTGGTAGAGTTCTTGCCTCACATACTCAAAGCCCTTGGTTCGATCCCCAGCATCACCGCCACAAAAAAAAAAAGATGAGTAAAAATTTAAGCCACATATTTCAGAGAAGGACACGTCCCTTTGTCCATCCGCTACTGGTCACACTCATGGTGAGAACAGTAAGCACTCCGCACTGAGCTAGAACGGCTCTTCTCCCTACCACACAGTCTCCTTTAAAGAAGTCGGGAGCCAAGAGGGGGGCTGACACTGGCATTCATGTTCCACTTCAAGTTGCCATTGAAACTTCGTAGTCAGGGGGACAGCTGGGTCACAGAAACTCTGCTTTAAGAGGAAATAATTAGAAAATCAAGAGCAGATGACAGTATTGTTTTACTGCAGAAGGACACATTACTGTGCATTGCGAGTATTTCTTTTGTAATCACTAGAAGGACGCTTTAGGAAGATGAACTCTGCAGAAAACAACAGGAGTTCTGCATCAGGCACAGATTTCAGACTAGGCACTTATGTACTATACCAAGCACTGACTGTGTTTTCACGTGCTTCTCAAGAATGCATCAACTAATTAGAAATGAGGAATGACTGCACTCTGTTAAGGGAAAAACTATTGTTAACCAAATAGTTAATGATTAAAATGAATTGATTTCTCTAGCAATCTAATTTTGCTTTTTAGATCTTTTTTGTTTTCCAGTACCGGGAATCAAACTCATGACCTCACACTTGCCAGGCAGGTGCTGTGCTGCTGAGTTAAATCCCCAGCCCAAGCACCAGCAATCTAATTTTGAGGGTGAGGGCGTAGCCTAGTCTGCACTAGTGATTGGAGTGGCCTCCTGCAGTGCAAAAAGCACACAGAATATAAACATTTTTCAATTTATTATGTAGAGATTTGTGTATGTGTAAATATATATTGTTTGTCAATTTTTCCATTACTTAAATATAGGAACAAACTAATTTTCTGTAAAAACTTTCTTTACATCACAGAAAAGGAGGCATATTTGTATTAAAATTTTAAACTGCAAAAAGGTATTTGCAGTTAAATAAAATACCCCATATATGGAGGACTCAGTTACTCATTTTTTGAAAATGGCTCTTCAACTCTGGTAAAAATAAAATGGAACATTTGGAGAAGCTTAAAAGGTAAAGTAAAACAAAAAGCTTTTTCTAATTCTCCAGGGCACCTCGCACAGCCAGCCGCACACCTCCCAGGCCCGCCGTGGCAGTGCCCGCCCTGCTGCCCACTGCCTCTGCCCCACCCCAAGCTCCAAGAGATGCTGTGCCTGCTGCTCAGCAGCCTGACAGTGCAGTGCGGGAAGGGGCTGCTGCTGTCCGCTGAGTGTTCAAGGGGCACTTCCATCGCTGATGACCGACAACTCGGCATGGACAGCAAAGGTCACCAAGACAGTCTTTCAGGTTAGGGAGAGGCTGCCTCCCCTCCTTTCTTTCAAGGCACTCAAACATCAGAGCACCTGGGTTCAAAAACAACCCACACTTGAAGGCCCCATTGAACCCAAAGCCATGAGGCCATGTAACCAGTCCTGCTGCACTGGGAATACGTAGTAGGAATTTAGACACTCATCTCTGCCTCAGGCTCAGTTGTCAGCTAAGTGACACCACCAAACCACCGGTCTATCTTCTGTGCAGAGAGGCACATACACCCTTGCACACAAGTACACACACACGTTTGCATGCACAAACATGTGTGCATATGCATACACACAACAGGTGTGCACACATTCCTGCCACATACGTGTCCATTCCAAGTTGATTTAAGGATTCCTCATCAGGGACGTTGTCATCGTGAGTTTCTCTCCTTCGTGATGTTCTTCAGCATCCAAACCTGAAAGTCATTCACATTTTATGAAACAAGTCCTGTCGACCCTCATGAAACTCTAGCTATACCATCAAGTGTTGACTGAGTTCTGGTTAAAATAAGAAAAAAGAATATAAAAGAAAGCAAAAGAACAAATGAATGAATGAATTGATTAATTAATAAATGAATGGATGGACAGAAGGAAAGAAAAGATAAGGGGAAATGTTTAAATGGAAAAGACCTAGAAGAAGAGACAAATCAAAGAACTCATATATGAAAAACTAATGGCTAAAAACTGAAATTACCCCCTCCGTTGATTCTTTGAATACAATATAGTTAAAAGGATAAGTACAAAAAATTGGATGTATCTGAAGTGCTCATGACTATTTTAAATTAAAAAATAAGCAAAGTACAAGATAATTGCAATATATTAAAAACAGAAAATGCTAATTTCCAATTATTTCTGAGTTCTACAAATATAATTCATTTGTTTATCTTTCATACTTGTCAGTTTTTAAATAAACTGTATAATGAAAAATATATGAAAAAAGTACATATGAGCAAATGTGCAAATAGCTCTGGGTATGGTGTATGTGTGTGTGTTTGTGTGTGTGTGTACAATGAACAAATGCATATAGGAAACACAGCTTTACAGAAGAGAAACACTGGGATTGGTACTCTTCAGCATCTCAGCCCTGGGTCAGAACCTAACATTTCACTCCTCAGCACCATCCTGAGTTTTTTTCCTATTACTGCTGTTCCTGGGTCAGGCTGCCACTGCATTCCCTGGAAAGATGTGTAATGATAACCTGAATGTGATTTTAAATTGCCCTCTTTTAATATCTTATTTTTTTCTCCATCTTCACAACCATAGCAATGATATGACAGGTAGATCAATAGCTGTATTTCCAGGCTTCAGATGTGCTTCTCCTACTTCCAAACTAATAGTGATAAATCAGAGCCAAGCAACTCCCAGTAATGGGCTCTCTTTCCAAGTGATACCTAGCAAACCTCTCAGGATACAGAGTTCCTTTGGAACAATACTGGGTCAGAGAGAATATCTATACAGCTTAGAGATTTTTCTCTTCTAAAATCAGGAAAAATGGGTTGTCTCTCTGGCTATTATCCCACGTCAATGCTGTAGAGGAGTTTCAGGTGTCCACTATCTGTTTGGATGTTTTATACAAAGCACAAGAAATTAATGCCAGTGGTCCTTACACCCAGCAGCAAGGAGAAGCTCTGCCTGTGCCTATGAGGCACAACTTTCCACTTCAGCTTCAGAAATGCCCAGGCACCACATGTGCAACGGACACAGAACAAAAAAGGCCAATCTCTCGCCTTTCTTAGGACTTATACAGGCTATACCATTTTTAACTAGTCAAGGAAACATAATACTTCATACCTAGTGTTGTTAATTGAAATAGAAAGACAAGCAGAAATAAAAGGAAAAGGATGACAAAAAGAGGAAACAGAAATTCTTTAGATGAAAAATGCATATTTTTCCAAAGCAAATGTAAGGTTGATTAGCTGTGTCCACTTTTTTAGCATGGGATTAGTAAGACACACTTCTGGATGTATCTGGGGTGGGTCATAGAAATGTGATGTGGTTGCTTTATGTGGCCCTGGCCCCTTCCTCTGCCCTCATGCTTTGTTTTTAGGTCACCATAAATTAAGCAGGTTTGTTTTGTCATACCCTTGTTCCATGATGTTCTTCCTTTGGGGTGAGCCAAGCATGGAGAGCATCTTCTGATACCGGGTCCAAGTGGACCTTTCCTCCTTCAATCTGTGGTTATCAAGTTATACATCCCAAGAGTGAGAAAGTTGAGTAATACAGGAAACCATTACCAAGAATGGATCTGTTACTGTAACTATACCTGACCATGTAGTATAGATGCTTTGCAAATTCATTGTGTGAGATGTTTGGAAGTGTTTGGATATGAACACCAGAGAAGTTCTAGAATGTCTGATGGGTAATTCTGTGAGAACCCCCCAAAGACCAGAACATTTGTAAAAATGCAGATAGTAAAGGTCAGGCTCAGCAGGATTCAGTTGAGATCAAGGACTCCATTGGCATTGGGATTAGGGGCCATGAGTGTTAAATTCTTTTTTTTTTTTTTCTTTTTCATATCCAATCAGATTCTGTTGGTATATTTTAGATATATGTAATGATCACATTCATCAGAGAATTTACACCTGCACATGATATAACTTGTTTCTTTTTTTCTCATTCCCCCACCCTCCCTTCAACCCCTCCTTGCCTCACCATTTACAAAAGCTTCGTTCCAATTATCCTTCTTTCCTCACTTTTTTACTTTTCCCTTGTT